CTGCGAGGAACTGGCACAGACACGCGTGACGCGCTGTCCGCATACGTCATGCGATGAAGAATTCGTCGCTGCAGTTCTTCGGGCTGAACGTGAAAATAGCTGCGCTGAGCTCAAATATTGTTGATATCTCAAAGGGGGGACGCATCGAACCAGTCTTTGGCGGCGCGCAGAAGGGGGGTATCGGGGAGGGGGGGAGGCTACCTAAGGGAGGCTGCCTCTTGGAAGGCGCGGGCCTCACACCTGTAGATGAGACCCGCGCCTCCTAAGAAGCAGCAGTGCTTCTGAGAAGCCTTCCCCCCTTCCCCTTCCCCACCCCCCGCCCCCGACAATCGGCTGCTCCCGTTTTGTCGATGCGTGGGCCCCAGGGGTCTGGACCACTTCCCCGGGACCGGTTTTTCGTCCCGACTCAATGCGCTCGACGACCCCGGGGCCCGACGAGGGCCCCGACGAGGCAGACCACCGCCCCGCAACCGCCCACGGTGCACCACGTTGTCTCGGAGCGTCGGATCCCGGGGGCCTCCCCCTCCTGCGCGCCTCCGGCAGACTGCCCCGCCGACGCAGGCCGTGCGGGCACGCCGACGCCTCGCGCGGCAGGGCGCGTGCGGGCGACGCCCCCGCCGGCGCGCCCCCGTGCCGACAACAGCACCGCGCACCCCTTCGGAGGCAGCAGCGGCGTGTGCGCTCTCGTTCTTTGGGCGCCGAGGCTCGTCACCGGGGACTCGCCATCGCTCGGGCGTCCACTCCCTGTGCTTGTTTCGCTTTCGTGCGTGGTCCTTGCGCCAAGGGATCAAGGATGCTCCTCGATGGTCCTCGCCGAAGGAACAATGCACACGTCCGAGCGATGCCAAGGGGAAGCAGAAGGGTAGGACTGCCGCTGCTCGGCGGCGAGCCCCGGGAGGGGGGGGAGTGGGAGAGAGAGAGAGGGCGTGCTCCGAAGGCCCGCGCCGCGCACCCCCTCCGAGGCAGGAGCCGCGCCTGCCCTCGTGCCCTGAGCGCGTCGAGGCTCGTCGCTGGGGCAGCAAGAAGAGGTGCTGATGCCGCGGCTCGGCGGCGAATCCCCGGAGGGGGGGGGAGAGAGGAAGAGGAGGCGTTCCCAGAAGGCTCGGCCGTTCCCCAGCCGCCCGAGGACCTTTTCTGAGCCTTCCCCGAATAGACACAACACCTTTTCTGAAGGCGCGAGGGCTGCTGAGAAGCCCCGCCGCCTGCTGCGAAGGCGTTCTCCATCTCACTTCCCCCTCTCGCTCGCCGCCGAGCTGCAGCCCAGACTGATAGTAAGGATGCGCGATACGGATGCGAGCCACGTGGACGCCTAATCATGTCGAAGCTCTTCGAGCGGGACTGGCCATCGAAAGTTGCGACCGATGGACCGAAGAGGCAAGGCTGCATGGGTACCCTTGGGAAGGCTTCCCAGCCTTATTTATCATCGGATTCGACTAGAGTAAGAGCTCGACCACAAGAAACGTTCCACAAGAAACCCAACCCTGAAACCCAAGGACGCCCAGTGATTTTTGGTGAAGGAACGTCACGCTCCCCATCGCAAAAAGATCGAAAACCCAAGAAACCCAGGGCACCCTGGAGACAAGCAGGGTGTTTCTTGGCATGGGCTTCCACTGTATGATTCCTGCATCTCTCCAGGGGTGCGTTCTGACCACCCTCTCGAGGCGGATCCTGCCGTGGCGACGAGTGGCGGCTTGCGGTCGGAGTGAGGGGGGGCGAACGCTCCCTCATTGTCACCAGAGGTGCTTGGCCACAGTGGGATTCCGTGGCCTGGATTCTTGCTGCCCATTGTCGCTATTGCTGTTGTCGTCGCCGTCCTCGCCCGCGCCCCCCCTGCGACCCACCCGCGACCCGCCCCGCGACCCACCCCGCGGCCCACGCGCGACCCACCCGCGACCCACCCCGCGCTCGCCCCATCACTCTCATCCGCAACTGAGGGGTGCGTTATATCGGTACAATCTCCTCCTCCGAGCGTCGTCACTCGTCGCTCGTCGCTCCAGGAATCGACGAAACCTCCCGCAAGCCCCCGACTCCTCACTGGCTCACCACTCGGTGTGATCTTCTTCACTCTGTTCCCGCAATCTCTACTGCTCGGGAGAGACACACACAAAAACCTCTACGCAGACCCGGAGGCCCTCTGAGAAGCCAAGCCGCCCTCCGAGAAGGCCACCTCCTTCCCTCACTGGGAAGCAGCGCCACCTCCTTTCCTCACTGGGGGGGACTGGCATAGGGGAATACCCATCGCCCTCGACTGGGCGATACATCGCCGATAGATCGGCGACAGGCCCCCGATAGGCGATCGATGGGCGATTGGGAGTCGATGCACCCCCCCCCATGCCTACACGTCGTTCATTTTTGATCGTGCTCATTTCTACTTGTGCTCGTTTCAAAGTGTTCCTGGCCCCCCAGTGGCCAGGAAGAGGCCCAGGATAGAACAATTAGAAATGACAGGATCTGGGCCCTCCAAAAATCAAAGAACTTTTGAATACTTAGAAATGCACATTGTGTATCCCCCCCTATCGCTGCCCCTGGCTCACGCTTCCCCCCCTCGCTCGCCGCCGACCCCCACTGGCGAAACCCGCAGCTGCTGGGAAGCACGCCCCCGAGGCGGGGAGGGCCGCAGGGAGCCGAAGGGGCGAAGCTCCGAGGCCGAGGAGCACTGCGCCCCGCTTCGCTCGGGCCGGGCCGATTCTCTACCCCAGCCTTCGCTCGGGGATGGCAAAGGCTGGGGTAGAGAATCCGAACACTTTTGTGGTCTGCGGGGCGAGAGCGAACCTCTTCCGGCAAAAGCCAGGCGGGCCACGCACAGCTCTCATTGGGGAGACAGGGCACAGGCGGGCGGGGCCTCAGGCGGCCGGAGGGCGGGCCGGGGTGCAGGCGGTAGAGAATCAGCACACGTAGAGCCGATTTTCCCGGCGCCTCCTGGCGCCGGGGGAGGCGCCCATGCCTCGAGGGATGGGCCTGTCGGCGGGGCCGAAACCAGCTGCATGCCGCAGACTTCGTACCCACCCCTTTCTCCATCCCCCCCTGTCGTCCTGCCCGGTTTGCTGCACGCTCCTGCCTGTCCCGGAGGCCCGGGGCTCGCGGGGGCGTGCGTCCACAGGCCGGAGGGTCCCACAAGGTGTTTTTGTTCGGGGGGAGGGGGTTTTCCAGAGGGCCCCCATCGGAGGCTTCGGAGCCTCGTCAAAATCGGAGGGTGCGGAGCCCCTCGGGGGCCCCTCCTGGAAGACCCCCTCCCTCAAAACCCCCTTTACAACCCTCTGGCCAGGGGGGACCCGAGGGGAACAGGCCGCGGCAGGAAGAGAATCGGTTGGAGGTCCGCGTGGGCTTCGGGAGCGCAGGATTTTTGTTCCGTTTGTTTTCTCTCCGCCGCCAGAACGGGCGTTTTGGGGGGGGGAGCAGGGGCGGGGGCGGGAGGGGGCACAAGGTACTGTCGGGGCACTGACCTGAGGAACCCTGAACAAGGAACGGGGCCCCTTTTCTCCAGAAGTTGAACTTCGAACTCCCATCGAAAACCCGAGGAAAACCTGGGTCAAACTGCGAACCAATTAATCAAGGAACACGGAGCCACGGAGCCCCTCCCCAACGACAAGAGTTCCTTCTCCAGCGCCCCGACTGTAGCGCCCCCCCCCCCTCCCAGACTGTGGTGCCAGACGCTCTGCGGCAGTGCCGGGGACGCACGGAGGAGGGGAGCGTTACGCTACGGGGAAGGGGGAGGGGGGTGAGGGTAGGGGGCATACAGCAGGGGCCCGTCCAAATAAACCTTCCGCAAGAAATCCAACCCTGAGACCCCAAGACGTGCGTGGATCTTCGGTGTGGGAACGTCACGCTTCCCATCGCAAATCCATCGACGCCCATCGAAGCAGGGTGTTTCTTGGCACGATCCCCAAGTGTAACGAGCGCTACGGCCCAGAGGGTAAACAAATATTCTCCTTGTATCGGCGCTGGACCCCCCTCCCTGGCGCGCGGAGCGCGCCAGGGGCGGCGCAGGAATCGCCGCCAGGGGGGCTACACGCCAATCCAAGAAATCCGTGCGGACCTCCAAGAAAGTATGTTCATGCCGTTGTTGGTGATTCGAAGATTGAACTGGTTGAAGCCCCAGGACATCGGTCAAGGTCCTGTGCGTGGCAGTGCTGATGCGTTTACTGCTGCTGCACAGTCAGAACAACGCGCCACCTCTGTTCTGTGAATTGTCCCGAAGGGACGCCGCTTGCGCACTCTTCTGCCGACGCGTCCTCCTCCTCCCTCCTCCTCCTCCTCCTCCTCCTCCTCCTCCTCCTCCTCCTCCTCCTCCGTGTCCCAGCGCTGCGCCAGGGGCTGGCGCGTGTATTCTGCACTGCAGGAGGGCGAAGCCAACTCTGCTCAAAATCGGTCCCCGGACCCCTCCCGGAGTCCATCTCGGCAGCGGCCAAGAGGGGGGTGTCCAAGAGGGGGGGGGGTGCAAATCATGACGGGCGGCATGTGCGCGGCCCAGCGGGGGGGCCAGGGACGTAATGAAACAAGAAGAGGCGCCATGAAATCTGGGAAGATATCATGGCCCACGCCATGATATCCCCCTCCCCTAGTCATCACCCCCCTCTTTTCCGCCCCCGACCATCTGCTGCAGTCTTCCAACCCTGGCTCCATCTACAGCACCCCAAAACTGCCCTCGGAGGCCGAAAAGGGCAGCAAGGACCTCCCCGAGCCCAACATCTCGTGCTGGGCCTGGGCCACCTCAAACCCAGACATCCGGCTGTTCCCAATTTTGTTTCAACGCCTGGGCCCTGGGGAGGTCTGGACCCTTTCCCTAGGACCCGTGGTTTTTCGTCCTGGGCCGTTTTTTGCTTGCGGTCCCAGGGCGCGGCGAATGGTCCTGGAGGCCGAAAACAGCCCTAACCCGCGGAGGCGGAGGAGGCGGAGGAGGAGGAGGAGAATCAGGGAGGAGGAGGAGGAGGAGGAAGAGGAGGAGGAGAGGCCCCAACCGGCTCCAAATCTGGGCGTGTTCTGCCGTCACCGCTCGGCGCCTTCTCGTTCGCCGCGTCGCGCAGCGCCTGCGGGGCGCAGCTTGCGGGCGGCCGCGGGCGGCGAGGCCGGGCCTTCCCTTCCCGCGCGCGCGCGCGGCGGGAAGCAGGCTAAACGCATCCTCGCGGATCGTCCCGAACGGCCGCCGGAGGCCCGAGTGAACCACGGCCCAGACGCCCGACATCCTGAACAGGGCTGGTGTGGTGAGCCCACTGAGGCGGGACGTGACGCGCCGCATCTCTTGCGGAAGAGCGCGCAGCGTGAACGACCCCATGTCGCGGTCACGATCTACGAACTGGTCCTCCATATGCGGCCATTCGTGAGTGTTGCTTACCATATATGTGTCCAAGCTATGTCACTGATGTCACCGTGCCTTCGATGAGAAGGGTGGGAAACGCCCAACACTCACAACAACTGCCAAGCCAGTGCGTCGAGATATTGTTTCGCGACGCCGAGGAGGACGGCGACTAACCAATGAAATGGGAGGCCCCATCCCCCTTTAAAGCAACTTGAAGCTCGTTTGGAAAAGTATATCTCGATCCGCACCCTCGCGTGGCACACGCATGCAATGGCTCCGCGTAGACTGCGCATTGCCTTCTGGCAGCGAACGGGCGTGGAGCTTGCATTCATCTCCGCGCAATTCACTCACCGATTACGTCTTCCCCCCCGCCCCCTCGTGCAGCCCCCTGCTATTGTGACCGCGCGCCCTCCCGCGGCGACGAGGTCCCCAGATCCCACGACGGCATCTAGTTGAAGAGGGACTACTCCAAAAAAGAAGACATATTCATGGACGAACCACAACAAGTATAGTTCTTCACGCAAGCGAATATGTTTTAGATCTTCGTATGCGGAAAGCGCAATCTTCACAAACAGATTATGATTGGGGATTCTCTTCGGTATCATTACATCTTCGTATGCGAAAGCGTATCTACTAATTCTACATTATGTATTGGAACCTTCGTTTAATGTTTATACCGCCTGTTCTCCATTCAATGGAAACCTCTGTCCATTCTCCACCACGTTGCCCTGAAACAGGAATGCGCGCAGCGGCGGTCTCTACCCGACGTCTAACTTGGTCCAACTGCAACGGCGCCCTCTCGAACCCCCCCGGGCACCTCGGGAAGAAAACCGCCACACGGTCAGCGAAGGAAACCAGGCGCACCGCTCCCGGATCGACCGACGACCTGAAAACCCATGGGGCAATATGCTTCCACATTGTTGAAGGGGCCCTGGGACACACGAATGAATACACACCAATAACAGGATTCCCCATATATTTCCCATGTTTTCTGGGTTTTTGTCTTCCCCCCCACTTCCCATATTTTCCCATAATTTCCTGGGAGTGGACGATCAACTGTGTCTGTGTTTCCCTCCTGAAAGATGCCTCTGCACTGTCGAGGGCGGGGGCTGGGCCTCGGAGCGGCCTCGTGTGCCACGCCGACGGCGGCGACGGCGACTGGCGGCCAGCGGACACGACTCAGCGCCCCTCTAACGGGGACTCCACTACTGGGACTGGCCATCGCTCGGACGTCCATTCCCTGTGCTTTCGTTGGCTTCGTGCGTGGTTGTTTCGCCTAATGATCAAGGGTGCTCCTTGATGGTCCTCGCCGAAGGAAAAATGCACACGTCCGAGCGATGCGAAGAGATGCTCCTACATTGTTGAGGGCGGGGGCTGGGCCTCGGAGCGGCCTCGTGGGCCACGCCGACGGCGGCGACGGCGACTGGCGGCCAGCGGGCACGACTCGGCGCCCCTCTCTAACGGGGAATCCACCACTGGGTACTGGGGCAAGTTTCAACACATAGGATTTGTTTAATATTGGATGTTCAATATATGATCAATTTATGAATGCATGCATGCATGAACCCATCGTTGCTTTTAGTACTACATCCCTCCATCTTTAATACATGATCCGCACGCGGAACATGTATTAAAAACGACACTGTAACGGGGACTCCACTGCTGGGTACTTGGGCCAGTGACCCGGCGAACCCAATCTGTGACGTGGCAGCGCTGCCATGCCAGACAGAGGCCTCAAGTGGCTACCTTCGGCAATATTCCCGTTAATGTACCCGTCAGTGAATACCCGTTAGCGTACTCGCTAGTGTACCCGCTAGTGAGTACCCGTTAGTGTACCCGCTAATGTACCCGTCAGTGTACCCGTTTCGTTGTAAAGTACCAGCTAGTGTACCCGTTAGTGAGTACCCGTTACGGTGCCGCGGAACGACGGCAGGCGCGGCAAGGCGCCGGCGGCATCGGGTGGCGCTGGCCGTCGAGGCGCAGCACGCACTCGGCCTGCGCCGGTGGGCGCGCAGATCCGGGCGGCGACGACGCCGACGGCGGCGACGGCGGCTGCGACGGCGCCTGCGACGACGAGGACGACGAGGACAACGAGGGCGACGACGACAACGGCGACGGCGACGGCGACGGCGACGGACACGACGAGGACGACGGCGTCGACGAGGACGAGGACGGCGATGGCGAGGACAAGGACGACGGCGACAACGAGGGCGGCGACGACGACGGCGAGGACGACGACGACGAGGACGACGAGGGCGAGGACGAGGACGCAGTCGACGTACGTCAACGGCGACGGCGGCAATCTCGGAGGCCGCAAGGGAGGTGAGGCGATATCCAGGCGGGCCTTCGGAGACGACGCAGACGAAGACTTGGGAGAAAAGAGAGGGCGTGGAGGCCTCGTTGAGGCCTGTCAGAATAAATGTTTGGCCTCTGAGCGGTTTCTTGGAGGGCCTCTCCTGGGGATGCATTCGGGCCCCGTTGGAGGGGCCTTGGAACCTCCTCGGGGCGCATCAGTAGGCAGTGACGCCATCACACTCATCAACATCATCATCACAACCATCATCAACAATATCATCCTCCTCGTTTGCCTGTGTGAGACGCTTTGGAAATCTGCACACCTTAGCCGCTATTAGGATGCCTGTATGTTCGCGTGGTCGTGACACGTTCTCGTGCCTGGTCGCCGGAAGGAGAGAAACCATCTGCCTCTGTCAAAACGATGTGAGGTCATTTTCTGCGTGGGTGGCAGCGTTCACGTGGGGAGGAACTCCATCGAGGTATCAAGCAATTGTTCCTTGGGCCTCGTTATCTTGTCAATCGTGTACTTGTTGCTGGACCCCATATCCACAAGCATTGCTGCTCGTCTTCGCCGGCTTCGCCGAGTGCGTCGAGGGTTGAGGCGACAGGGGGTGGCGTTCGTTTGCTGTGACGCCTCGCGTCCGTTCCTATTCTGGCTCCCCCCCTCCCTCCTCCCTCCTCTTGCACGCCAAGCTGTGGCATACGATGGTCTCGAGTCAAAAGCCCTCCCTTTTCCCTCCACCCTCCAGCCGCCTCTGGAGAGACCAAAAAGTACCGATACCGATACTCCCCGGACCTCTCCCGGGGTGCGTTCCGACCAGAGTTCCCCTTCCCAAGCCCCAGACCCCCGACGTCGTGATTTTTTCACAACGTCGACTCCCAAAGATCTGGACCTTTTCCCCGGGACCGGTTTTGCATCCTGAGCCGTTATTTGACGGCCCCGAGGCCCGGGCAGGGCCCCCGGAGGCCGAAAATGGTGAAAAACCACCCGTGGTGTTTTTTAACGGCGCGAGGAGGTCTGCATTTTTCCTCTGATCCTCCCTCCCCTCCACCCACCCTCCTTAGCATTGCGCTTCCGATGCCCGACGATGTCACGAAATAAACATTCCTGGGCATCGGCCCCCATGGGTTATTCGGTCCAACGTCGTGCCGCCACTGTTGCTGACCATGGAGCTGCTTGTGCCGGAAGAGTTCTTACAGGTGCCATCGCCGTTGGGCTACAAGTGACAGCTCCGACCTTTGCTCTTGCCTGAATGCTTCCAACATTTCGAGACTCCGATTGTTGCCCGCACGTTGTTGCAAGGACAGCGTTGGAAGGGAATGATACGTGAGACGACGCTTACAGTCGGGGAGTTGACCTAAGGAACGATAAATAAGGATCGAAGCCCCTTTTTCTAATGAGTTAAACTCCGATGTTCCATGGAAAAGCTCAGGAAAACCCAAGGAGCACTGTAAAGCAACTAAGGAACACGGAGCCCCTCCCCAACAAAAAGGGTTCCTTCTTCAGGCCCCGACTGTACAACTTGCTCGCGTGGCCCCCTCAGGAGATTGGCAACCCGGGCCTGGCCCTGCTCCCTGGGCGCGTTGGCCAGATTCTGACGGCATGCCGTGCGTGGCAGAAGGGACCAAACATGGGAAGCACAAAGACCTAGCAGTACTACATGTCCTCCTTGGAGGCGCGCGTCCGACCCGAACATATCGTGTACCCCTCTTGTAGTATACCGTTCCCCGAGCGGTGTGGCCAGAAAGCGCCGGCCAAGACGCACAGACTACAAGATTTCTCGGTGCCCGCGTCGCCCCTGGGGGGGCGACGCACATATAGTAGAAGTATATTGGGGTGACGCCGAACCTAGGCGACGAAAAGAAACGTTCGGTGGCAACTCAAGGGAGCCTCCCATAACATCTTGTCAGCTCTTGCGAATCGACGCTGATCGACGCCAAGTCGACGCTCAACGACGCCAAATCGACGCCAAATCGGCGACATCTCGTCGCCGACAATCGGCGATGTTGGGGCGACGCCGAAAACAGGACGAGGCACATCCTGCCCGCATCGCCTCGCAGGCGCTGCCGCATGGAAAAGCACGCCCCTGCCCGATCCCGACCGGGCGACAGGGGGAGGCGGGCGCCCGCGCCTCCCCTCCCCGATCCCCGAGCCCTCGCGCAGCCTGCGGCCCCTCGAGGCCTGCCTCGGGCGGACCCGGAGGAGGAGGAGGAGGAGGAGGAGGAGGAGGAGGAGGAGGAGGAGGAGGAGGAGGAGGGGTAGGAGGATGAGGAGGAGGAGGAGGAGGGGGAGGGGGAGGAGGAGGAGGGGAGGAGGAGGCGGAGGAGGAGAGGGAGGATAGGGGGGGAGGAGGAGGGGGAGAGGAGGAGGAGGAGGAGGAGGAGGAGGAGGAGAGGAGGAGGAGGAGGACGTCCCTCCCCTCCCTGTGGAAGCACTGGCCGCCCGCGGGGGGGGGGCTGCCGAGGGGAGCGCGCGCCGCGCCTCGCTCCGCGCCCCCCCCGGCGAGCGCGGCGCCTCCCGCGCTCGGCGGCGCGCGCCGGCCCGAGCGCCGACGCCGAGCGCGGGAGGCGCCACGCTCGAAGGCCCGACTGCAAGAGGAAGGAGGAGAGGGAAAAGAGGAAGAAGGAGAGGAATAAGGAGAGGCGAACAAGAAACATACGATCGAGGAATAAGAGCATGAAGAAGGAAGGAGGAGAGGAATAAGGAGAGGAATAAGGAAAAGAGGAATAATAAGAAAAGAGGAGGAAGAAGGAGACTACGAACAAGAATGAGAAGGATAATACGAAGAAGGATACTAATAATCATAATAATAATCATAACAAGAAGGAAACAAGAAATCATAAAACACACAAAAAAACAGCGGCATAAACATGAACTGCTGGCGCGCGCGGATTCCATTGATCCGCGCGGGGCCCCCCTGGGCGGCGCCTCCAGCGCCGCCCCTGGCGCGCCTCGTGCGCCAGGGAGGGGGGTCCAGCGCAGATCCAAAAGTGCATGCTTATGCCGTCTTTTCTTCTTCCTCCCATGGGATCCGCCCCCCCCCCCCCCCCCGAGGGCCCCCCTCCAGAGGCATGCCCCCGTATGGGTACCCTACTGCTGGGATCGGCGAGGGAGCTGCTGGGGGGATAGGCCTCCGGGGATCGAGGCGTTCGGGTGGTGTCGCCAGATCTCGACAGGATTCCAGCCTCAGAATGCTCTCCATCAGCAGCTGCGCCTCGCCGAGAGCGTTCTGGAGGGTGTCCGGATCGTCCCGAACTGCCGCCGCAGGCCCGAGTTATGGCCGGAAAACGACCTGGGACGGGGATGCTGGGATCGGTGCGAGGGCTGCCAAAGGGATCTGGGGGTTATCAATGGGTGCCACCGTGGCTTATATCTGGCAGACCAAACTTACCGGATGTTTGTAAATGTCCCAAGTGACTCAGGGGCGAAAGAGAACTCCACTCAATAGACGGAACCCACTTAGCCCGGATCGCTAACCCCTTGATGCCACTTTCGGCATGTGAAGCCACCTATAAGCTAGATTAGGACAGATGTAACCCACCTTAATATCCACTGATACCCACCTTACCCTCTGAGCAACCCGCGCGCCGATCCAAGTAGAGAAATATCGAACTGAATACATACACAGAAGATTCCGTCTGTGTAGATTTGTTGGATCGATGCTGGAGCGCGGGGCGCGCCAAGGGCGGCGCTGGAGGCGCCACGAGGGGGCTCCAGCGTATATCCAAGAAATCCGCGCGGACCACAGACAATGTGTGTATGCAGCTTTCTGTTCCTCCGTACCCATATGGAGATGCGACTCACGACTGTAAGGCCCTCGTGCCTCATCATGCCTCAAGAGAGCGCGGGGCCGAAATCCGAAAGCGCTGCCATGGCCTGGTAGCCGTCTCTCCACGGCAGCTGGTGAATCAGCGTCACCTCCTCCTCGGCAAAGCATAGCATGGGAGATGCTGCGGTTGACATATGCGATCAGATCTATTTCTATAGAGCAATCGTGGGCCACATTCTTCGTCGCTCTTGGAGGGTCCCAAAATGCCCCAATCGGGGATCTTCTGACACGGGTCAACCCAGACCCGCGTCAGTCGGGCCTTGCGGGATCCTGCAGGATCCTGCAAGATCCTGCACCCAAACCCGGGTCAATGCGAAGGACCCCGCAAGATCAAGTAGGATCCTGCACCCAGGCCCTGGTCGGTGCGACCCTGGCCCCACAGGATCCTGCAAAATCAGGCGCTCTGGCTGACCCCCCGTTTGTATTGATCCCCATCTCTGGAGCCCCGATCCAAACCTTATGTTAGGGGAACAAAAAGGCACATAAACATAAAAACTCGGAGGTCCGCGCGGATTTCTCGGAGCGCGCCAGACGCGGCGCCGGAGGCGCCGCCGGGGGGCCCCAGCGTCGATCCGAGAAATCTGCGCGGGCCTCCGAGTTGTTATGTTTATGCCACTGTTTCACAAACATTTTCCCAGGGTGGAGGGCTCAGGGTTAAATCCATATGGGCTTTGGCACCTCGGAAATCAACCCGTCCTGTGATTCATCCGTTGCAGATTCGAGCCTCGGAAACCCCTCGGAACGGCACTTCAGTTTTCACCCTCTGCCCTCCACCCAAAAGAACATGCTCGGACTTCTTGTTCCCCTCTTGTGTGGTCCCCCCGGGGACCTCGGGTGACTCGAGGTGGCCGTGGGGCACGCGGTGGCGGGCCGACTTCGTAGTCGGTGCGCCTGCTGCGCGTGAGTGCGCCGCGGGGCGTTCGAGGGTCCGCCACGAGCCCGCACCCCGCCCCGTCGGCGGAGGGCCACCGGGCGCTCACGGAAGCGGCGAGGGGAGCGTCTACGGTGATGTTGTCCCCATCGTACCATAGGACCACATCCCAGAAAAATAACTTCGAGCACCCAAAAGGGTATCGGAACAGCGTCGAGCGAGCGCCTCCCAGGGCCCGACGCGTGGAAAACCTCCAATGCCGGCACTTTCCTGGTGCTCGAGATTCGTGCTGGTGATCCAGGCTAACGTAGGTGGGAACATCATCAGTCTACAGGCGAGAGCCGCCCCGAGGGGGCGGAGGAAAGGGGCGGCAGTGGCGGGCACGAGGGCGCGGGCTTTGGTGTGGGAGCCGCACGCGTAGACGCCCAAGTGCGCGGGCCGTCGCCCGAAGCGCTGCGTGTATCGGCAGCTCGGGGCGGACGCCAGCGCGTGCGGCGAACCGGCAGACCATCACTGGGGGCGCACCGATGCAATCGCAGGCCTCGGGGTTGACACCAACACCGATATCGGCGGTGTGCCTCCACCGAGGGAAGAAGATCCCGATCTCGGTGACGGTGGTAATACTCTGGCTTCCAAGGTGGCCGAAATGTTACCACCAACACCGAAATCTAGGATCCTCTTCCCCCTGTGGAGGCAAGCCCGGAGGAGGACGCGGAGGAGGGGCAGGAGGAGGAGGAGAAGGTGGAGGAGGAGGAGGAGGAGGAGGACGAGGACGAAAAGGAGGAGGACGAGGAGGTGGAGGAGGTGGTGGAGGCGGAGGAGGAGGAGGAGGACGAGGAGGAGGAGGAGGAGGAGGAGGACGAGGAGGTGGAGGAGGTGGTGAGGAGGGAGGAGGAGGAGGACGAGGAGGTGGAGGAGGTGGTGGAGGAGGAGGAGGAGGAGGAGGAGGACGAGGAGGAGGAGGAGGAAGAGGAGGAGGAGGACCCGCTCCCCCAGTCAGCTTGTGGCGGCGGTGGCGGCAAACGGGCCCCTCCGCTCGTGCCGAGCAGCGGCGGCCTCCCCGCACGCCCAGCGGCAGCCGGCGAGGGCGAGGGTCGTGTCAAGTTGGGCATGTCCCTCGAAAGGGGGAATTTTCAGAAGTAGTAGCAAAAATAATATGGAGATTATTGTTTGATATTTTTGGGCCATCCTGGAGTATGTTTTGAATATGTTTTATGTGTTTGGTTATATGTTGAGTCTGTGGACTATTTTTTGGAGTGGTCAAAAATAGTATGGGGATTTTTCTGTGTTGTTTGACCATTCTGGAGCATGTTCTGAGTGTGTCTTACTTTTCGCCGAAGATCCCCCCCTGTAGGGGGACACGCCCGCCTTGAGGGTCGAGGGGAAGGAAAGGGGGTCGAGGGTCGGGGCTCAGCCCTCCAGCCTCCGACCTCGACCCTCCGACCTCGGCCCTCCGACCTCGATGCTCCAGCCATGCGAGCCTCGGGCCTCGGGCCTCTTCGAGGGGGACGACGGGGGAGGGCAGCAAAGGGTGGGGTAGAGCATCAGCTCACGTATAGCTGATTTTCCCGGCGCCTCGCGGCGCCGGGAGGCGCCCATGCATCGAGGGATGGGCCCGGCGGCGGGGCCGAAAGCGGCTGCATGCAGCAGATTTCGTACCCCCCCTTTCCCTATCCCCCCCTTTCGTTCGGCCCGAGAGGGGGCGCGAGAAAGAGTGGCGACCCGCCGAAAACGGCGAGGTCCACGGTCAAAACTGACAGTGAGGATGCGTGGCAAGGACGCAAGCCCTTTGGACGGCCCGTGTGGATGCTTTTTCGAGCGTGGTGGGCCATCGAAGGCGGTGACGGATGGACCAAAGAGGCACGGATGCAAGGGTACCCGTGCGAAGATTACCCATCCTTGCCCTTGGTGCGCGCGGCGCCGCACTTCGCGGGGCCACCGACACGAATCGCGTGACGGAGGCGGAACGACGATGTGACCCAGGTTTGGCGGCGAGCGCAGGGGAGACATGAGAAAGGAGAAACCCTTCTCAGAAGGTTCGGAAGGACCCCCCTGCCTTCCGAGAAGTTTCCTACAAGGCTCCCCCGAAATACGCGAAACACTTCTCGGGAGGCGCGAGGGCTTCTGAGAAGCCCCGCCGCCTTCTGCGAAGGCCTTCTCCTTCTCACTCCCTTCCCCCCCTCGGCGCGCCGCCGAGTTCGGTTCTCGAGCCATCACTCGGGCCTCCAGCGGCCCTTCGGGACGGTCCGGGCATCCCCGCAACGCCCTCGGCGAGGCGCAGCCGCCGGAGCGCGCTCCGAGGGCGGCAGACCGCCACCACCAGACGAGCACGCCCGCAGACCTGGAGAACCTGGAAGCTAGCTTCGCCGCCGCCGCGGAGACGATGTGGCCCAGGTCTAGGGGAACAAAGAGTGACATAGACATAAGAACTCCGAGGTCCGCGCGGATTGCTCGGATCGGCGCTGGACCCCCCTCCCTGGCGCGCGGAGCGCGCCATGGGCGGCGCCGGAGGCGCCGCCAGGGGGCCCCCGCGCCGATCCGAGAAATCTGCGCGGACCTCCGAGTTTTTATGATTCTGTCTTTTTTTGTTCCCCTAGACCTGGGCCACATCGTCTCCGCGGCGGCGGCGAAGCTCGAGGTGCGAGCTTCCAGGTTCGTCTCCAGGTCTTCCGGACCTCCGAGTTGTTATGTCTATGTCACTGCTTGTTCCCCCAAGGTCGCCAAACCTCGCGCGTCGCGCCCCGCGAGGCGCGGTCACCTTCTGCGCTCTCGCGTCGCCTCCTGGAGGAGGCCCCGCTCGCCCTGCCGAGACTGCGACGGCCGAGCGGCGGCGCTCGCTGCTCCCGCCCCCCGCGGGTGGCCCGGATGGCGGGGAGGGGACCTCCTCCTCCCTCCTCCCTCCTCCCTCCCCCCTCCCTCCTCACTCCTCCCTCCTCCTGCCTCCCCCCTCCTCCCTCCTCCCTCCCTCCCTCCTCCTCCCTCCTCCTCCTCCTTCCTCCTCCTCCTCCTCCTCCTTTCTCCTCCTCCTCCTCCTCCTCCTCCTCCTCCTCCTCAGCATCCGTCCTCCCCCTCCTTCTCCTGCTCCTCAGCATCCTTCCTCCTCCTCCTCCTCCCCCTCCTCCTCCTCCTCCTCCCCCTCCTCCATCGCGATTTGTTCGCAACGTGGACCCACAGAGGTACGGGCCCCTTCCCTGGGGTCAACTCTCCTTCCTGTTTTTCTTGACGGTCTCCCTTGGACCCGGCAAGGGTCCCCGCAGGCCGAAAACTGTCAAACACCTGCCGCAGTGATTGTGTTACGACCGGAGGATGTCACGGGGGTCAAGAGGAGTGTTGGAGGCCTGGACATGGGCACCAACACCAGCACAGGGGGTTGCCTCCACAGGGGGGAGATGAGCCTAGATTTCGGTGTTGGTGGTAACATTTCGGCCACCTTGGAAGCCATAATATTACCACCATCACCGAGATCGGGATCTTCTTCCCTCGGTGGAGGCACACCGCCGAAATTGGTGTTGGTGTCAAGCTCCAGGCCTGCGAGTAGAGAGGATGAGAGGAGAGGTGGCGCAACCACTACTCTGTCCAGGACGACGAGAGAGCCACGGAGGGAGCCACGAGCAACAGAGCAAGTGAAGAGACGGGAGAGCCCCCTCGAGCCTCGGGGCATCCTTCGAGAGCGTCCCCAGACTTGGAGGCGCGCGGGGCGACCTCGAACGATGCCGCTCGACCATCTGGCTCGTCCTGGAAGCTTCCCCACTTGACTTCCGCCAGCCCTCCGAACGAGGAAGAGGCCACCTCCCTCGATCCTCGCAGGCGAGCCCAGCCCTGAAGCGCCCCCACTGACAACGCCGGAGCACCTGCGCAGGTCTCGGGATCCGTGACCCATGGGGCTCCCGATGGCGCAGCGAAGAGGATACTGTACAGTCGGGGCGTTGACCTAAGGAACCCTAAATTCGCCGGCCCAACGGGCCAGGGCGTGCTAAGATCTCTGGTAACTGGTTAACAGTATTAACAGTATTTCTAGTTCGCGCGCGCGGGGCGGCCCCTGGGGGTCCCCCGGCGAAAAGTACCCCGACCAACGTCGACGCCCGGTCGCCGCCCGACCGCCGCCCGACCGCCGCCCGACCAAGTCTACTCAGAGATGGTTTTCCTTCTGGGTGCGGCCTCTCAGGCTCCCCAGAGCGCGCTCAGAGTGCCCCAAGAGGCCCCCAAGACTGCCCAAGAGGCCCCCGAGACGCCCAAAGAGCGCTCGAAGACGCCGAAGATGACCCCAAGAGGGCCCAAAAGGCCCCCAAGACAGCCCAAGAGGCCTCCAAGACGCACCAAGAGCCTTCCAAGAGGCCTCCGAAGAGAGCCCCAAGAGGCCAAAATCGTTGATTTTCATTGGTTTGTTCGATGTTTTTTGTGTTCTGGCTTTTTCGGCTTCCGGACGCTCCAAGACGGCCCAAGAGGCCCCCAAGACCGCTCCAAGACGGCCCACGAAGCTCCCAAGACGGCGCCGAAACGACCCAAGAGAGCCCTCAAGACGGCCCAAGTGCCGCCCAAGACGGACCAAGAGGCCCCAAGACGGGCCCAAGAGGGACTCAGGAGGGATACCGAGAACTCAAAAATGGAGCCCTCCGTCCCAGAAGGCGCCCAGGAGGTCCCAAAGAGGCCCCAAGAGGCCTCCAAGAGGCCCCAAGATGTCGCCAAGAGGCCCCAGGAGACTCCCAGGAGGCCCAAAAGAAGCCCCAGAAGGCTTCAAACATGTCTCCCAGGCGCCCCCGAACGGCCTCTCAACAGACCCCAAGAGGCCCCCCAAAGAAGCATCTTGACGACGACTCTATTTCGCCCCATCGAGAGACGACCCCCAGGGAACTGCTTCACCATCAAAACTCCCCACGCAACGCGTCCGAACGACACCCGCCCCCAAGAGCGCAACATGGGCAACGAACACACAGACAAAAACCAGCGATGCCATATCACGGGCCGGCGGAATGAGCGAAGCGATTCAATAAGGAACGAGGCCCCTTTTGCTCGTAAGTTAAACATCGATGTCCCATGGAAAACCTCAGGAGTACCTGAGGCAAGCTGTTAAACAATCAAGGAACACCAGGCCCCTCCACAACGAAAAGGGTTCCTTCTTCAGCGCCCCGACCGTACAACAGCACGCGGCGACCCTGCGGGAAGGCTGCAGCCATCGTGCTACCATAGGGAACGCAGGATAAGGAACGAGAGACCCCCCCTATGAACCCAAAGTGGCCCTTATCATAGCGTCTTGACTGTAGCGCAGGCCGCCAGCGCGGCACACCGTGTGAGAACGACGGCGCTTGTACGCACAGACACATTGCGCACGTGTGTCCGAGCGGACGTCCCGTTTATTAGATCGATCTCCTGACGGTGAAGAAGCATCTGCAAAAGTCTCGTGTTCATGGCCGGGGGGCTGGCAACTGACAACGAACTGAGGGTAAACCAAATGCGAGATGCGGACAGCGTGCCAAACGATGCCACGTTGCCGAACAGTCGAGCGCAGCCGCACAACGACCGCATTGGTGGGGGAATCGCGGGGACGGCACAAGAACTGCAAGCCCACATCTGCCACGAGCAGATTGCCGATACACACTGCAGATCTGCTACGAGCAGGATTGCCACTGATATGACTGAGGATATCGCGGGTCGCCACGCTGACATCAATGCTACGCAATGCTGCGACCATCAGCTACTGCAACGCTAAGCCCATCAACTACTGCAATGCTACTGCAATGCAATGGTCCCCTAGAGTAGACGGCAATGCCACGCCCATCAGCCAATAAGTGTGGAATGCTGGGCCTGAACCGATGGCTGCAACAGTACCCAAACGTCGAAACCTAAAGATATGGCACGAGTCAATGACAACCCAAGGCAAACATTAGATGGTGAATCGATTGCGCATGGAATATTAATCAGTCAAAGCGTGGTGGTTTTGTAAGAGCGTGGCCGAAAAGAGATGCAATAGCTACCTCAGAGATAGCCGTGATGATATGGATCTGCGGCTCGGCGATCTCTGCGCGAGCCTTGTCCTGAGATGCGTGCGCTCGCTTGCGCAAACAGGGCTGGCAATCACCTGCCCCCGATGCGGGACGGACGGACGTGTGGGATGTCTGCCTGTCCCCCCTCCTGCCTCAACTTCCCCATTGAATCGCAATCCCGTGTGAGAGGTGGGGTCCGGAGAGTTCGAAGTCTCTGGAGACTGCCTCAGGATGTCCTCAACGGGGCGCGCACCGGCTTGTCAGCGGCGGCGTGGGACACGAGGCGTCCAGCAGCAACCGCCGGGACGCGGCAGAGCTGAGTGCGTGCCGAACCTGGTGGACGCAAGTGTCGCTACAAATTATGAGTGAGCTGACTGGCTGAGACCCGTGCTCACTCGTGTATCATCGGACCTGTCTGAAACGCTACCGCTGCTCTGCACAGCAGGTTCTCCGAGCAGGAGCAGGAAGGCCCGCTGCAGAGGGACAGAGACGGGCAGGCACCTGCGACAGCGCTCCTGGCGCGCGCGGGGCCCGCGAGGGGTCCACCACTCCCTCGAGGCGAGGGGGGCGGGCGAAGGCAGGCACGGAGGCAGGACCACCGGCCCACGCACCTCGAACGTCCTGCCTGGGGAAAGGGACGCGTCCTTACCAGAAGTTTCGCAGCTAGACTGCTTGCTCTGTTGGGTACGCCCAAAAGATATGTTCCGACCCTTCTGTCGCTTTTGATTGCCGAAGAGCTTCCGTACGGACGCATCATGCGGCCTAACCTAGGTGGCCCAATAAGCCTCCAGGATGGCCCCGTGAAGACCATAAGAGGGACCCCAAGAAAGCCAGACAGATCAAGATCAGCCGACGCCGCCCCCAAGGCAACCCAAGAGAGCGCGAATGATCCAAGAGGGTCTCACGTGCCACTGAGTAGCCTCAAATACGCTTCGGTGGCAACTCGTGGGAGCTCCCCATACCATCATGTCAGCTCTTGTGAATCGACGCTTGTCGACGCTAATCGACGCTGAATCGAGGCTGACACTACATCGGCGCTGTCTCATCGACTCCCAAATGACAACATAATGTGTGATCAACATGTGTTTCAGGTAACCGGCTCCGCGCCCAGGATCTCATAACACATGTCTTCCAAATCTGCCTCCAAACTGGACCCACAATTTGCCCACAGGCTCAAAAGTTGCCCCGAGAAGTTCAAAGATGGCCCCCGTGCGGCCCGAGACGGCCCATCAATGCCCCAAGGGCCCCAGGAAGCTCCCAAAGGCAGCCCCAAGATGGCCGAGATTGGGGGGGGAGGACAGCGACTCAGGGCGTATCGCTCCAGGTCAAGACTAGATGCGAGATCAAGCCTTCAGCGCAGTAGCGAGGGCTGGTCATTCTCTCCTCCCCTCCTGCCAAGGGGCTTGCTTTACCCACCGAGCTGAACATCTTCACCAGAAAATGAACTCATGGTGTGTCTGGGCACGACTGTACGAATGGACCGCTCTGAGAGGGACCTTTACGGTAAGGCTTCGGTATCCTTGCAGCTGGCATTGGGGTTGACAACGGATCTGCACACACTCACACACACACAGAAACACCCGGCAATGCCCAAAGCAAAAGGGTCAGGGACATGCGAGACGATACACGCACCAATCGTATCGCAAAAGCAACACGGATAGGCGCGCAGCTCGGCAAGCGCATGTAATGCGTACGGGGCTCAACATAACATGACAGCAATGATAGTGTGGCCACAGCCACCAGCTGCTCCTTCTTTGCTCACTCCCAAACGCTGAATATCTTCCTTTCGCTCCAGAAATATAATCCAGTGGCTCCGCGACGTGAAGCAATAAACTACCGGACAAGTGAGAATGCCCTACGAGACTACGGCAAGCATGCGCGTTCGAAGGAAGAGTGGAGATACAGCAGGAAAGACAGCAGACGCTGAGCAGGAAGCCGCAGCCGAACACAAGAAACTGTTCCTCGGGAATGCCAAGGTACTTAATGTAAGCGTCCAAATTGTCATACTTCGTGTCAGAACGTACCTGGCTGCACCGCTTGAACCAAAAGGGGCGCCCCGCACAAACACGTATGGAAACATGCGTGACAACATCATTACTGTCGCGCACAACATGCGATCAACCGAATGACATCCTCTAGTTCACGTGCTTCGCTACAGTGCGCCATCAACATCATCTCCGCAAGATGAAACAACGTAGACACTGCGGCACACCCAGCGTCCAATCAGCTGCGACACGTTGCGTCGCTTCTTCACCTCGTCAACAACAAATTTTGGCACAATATGACGAATGCCGAGGACAGGAGGGATGCTTTTGCATGAACGTGCAAACCGTGTTATCCCCTCGCGATTTCTTGACAATACTGCTGAATGCTGTCCCGACCACACAACGCCACATTCTGAAAGCCAGCAGCGTTCAGCGCAAAGCTCTGCCCCAATCACCGCATACCAGAACTCAAATTGGCCCCCCTCCTCGAAGACGCCCCTTCCATCAAGCATGCCCCTTCGTTTAGGCAAAATCCAGAGTGACACCCATGTCAAGGTTGCCTTCCCTCACGCCACCGATCAGACTTTTAGTGGAACTGCGGCTGTCAAGTGCAGTGGCCTGCAGTCTGCATGTTGAGCCTTGTGGGCTTGGCATCGCAGGGGTTGGGCCTCTCGGGGATTGACCTCGCGGTGGTTGAGCGATCTACATGGCGTGCTGAGGTTCCTGGGGCCCTAACAGTTTTAAAAAACCGATCCCCGTTGTGTTGACATTCCTTATTGTAAGAGCGGTCGTAACACTCAACGTGTAAGATCTCTGCCCAGCCCCAGTGGGCCAGGACTTGTTGGCGCCACAAACCTACTGCCTTTGGATGAGGATACTGACAAGAAAAACGATTGAAGCGGCACTTACCCCTACCTAGAAGGTTCGATTTGGCACACGGGGAGAAAGTATGCCCGGTGACGATGGGGATGGGCGCGTCTATACTGAGGCACCCCCAAGGTGCGTGTGGCCACGAGCTGCAGGTGCGCATGCTAAGGGTTCCGACGGCCTTCTCGCGAGGTTCAAGCTGTATGTCAAGGGTTCAAGCTGGCTGAAGCCAATTTCTGCTATTCGCGAAGACGCCTGTTCCTGGCCCCGCCAGGCCTCCCCTCCCCTTACATTTATTATTGCTTTCTTCTTCGGTACACCACCTACCACTTTAGAGCCGCAAAGACTGGACCAGGATAACTGGTACCAGCCCGCAGTTCCCTATGGTCGCCCGGACCCCAGACGACCCGATGCTTTCGAGTCGCTGGCCCCTCAGAAACTCTCGACTGGGGGGAAAGTCCTAGGGGGACCCACTCATGAGGAGTGAGATCGAGCTAGATCGGCGATGGTTCCCACTGGGCGGGGTGGGCTATCAGGCCCCCACCGGCGATGAACATGCGATTGGGGGCCGATGCGTAACCCCCTGAGCGTATCCCCGTGCCCGTTGGGTCACGAGTCGGGCCTCTGGCAGGCCGTCCGGGACGATCTGGGCATCCCCGTGCGGACCTCGGGGCACCGCTGCAGGAAAGGCATCCGCTGGGATCGGTGGTTGGGGTGCTCCGGGGGATAGGAGGGTTATCAGTGGATGCCACACTGGACTATATCCGCCGGCCCCCTTTGCGGGGCCATCAGGCTGCGTGGCTTAGGTTTGCTGCTCCCTGCGCCACTTCCAGTTTCCAGTTCCCCAAATTACAGCATTGCTTTCTGCTTCCTACTGTAAATTGTTACTGTCCGCGCGAGGGGGGGAGGGGCCGAAAACTAGACCGGTTACCACGGCCCCCCGGGGTTCTCAGAATTTTCTGGGGGGCCGTGGGACATGCTCCCGACGCAATCGTCCCTCGTAAATTACATTGTCTTCGCGCCCCCGAGACCAAGATCCCTTGTAAATTACATTGTATTCGAGTCCCCGAAGCCACGATCCCTTGTAAAATACACCATGCTCGCGCTCCTGAGGCCACGATCCCTTAGAATTGCACACAGTCGCGCTTCCGAAACTACAATCTCCTGTAAATTACACCGCACTCGCAACTCCGATACCACGATCTCATGTAGATTACAACACATTCGCGTTTCTGGGGCCACGAGCCCCCGCAAATCACCGCACATTCGCGCCCCCGAGGCCGCGATCCCCTGCAACTTACGCCGCATTATCGTCCCCGAGGCCACGATCTCCTATACGTGATCTCACGAGGCGCCCAAGACGCGCCCAAGAGGCCTCCAAGAAACCCCAAACATACCCCACGAGGCCACAAGAGGCCCCCAAGAGGCGCCCAAACCGCCTCCAAGGGGCCCCCGGGAAGCTCCCCACGACACCCCAACACGTATACAAGATGCCTCAGACCCACAATTCGGGCACGGTGGCGGGATGGGCCGCAGGCCACTAGGTTGACGTGATATGCGCCGGTGATTCCTATCCGCCCCCGCATGCTGTTCCAAGATGCGCCAAGGCAGCGCCGAGACGCACCGAGGCGACTTTGTTATGACACATTATGATAGAAAGGGGGCCGGCGGCAGGGGGCGAAGCCCTTACGTATAGTTTTGTATGTGTATATATATATACATACGTATATACATTAATATATATATATATATATATATAGATGGCAAGGTAGACATCGTAAGTGGGTTACACGGCGGGGATCGTTCAAACTTGAACCATCGGCCCTTTCAAAAAGGCTGGATCGTTTAAAGGTGTGCCGATTCTGGGCCACAAGCCGTTCAACCTTAAACGCCCGCGCTAGGGTCGCCGCCGGTCGACACGATGCGAACCTGCCCTAGGGGGAGGGGGGAAGGCTCATTGAAAGGAGACTGCTTCTTTGAAGGCGCGGGCCCTACATCTGCAGACAAGGCCCGCGCCTTCTAAGAAGCAGGGGTGCTTCTGAGAAGCCTGCCCACCTCCCCCATACCCCCCTCTGCGCGTGGCCGAAAGGGCAGGATGAGAAACAACGACACACGGTCGGACCCAGGACAGAGGAACCTCCTTCAAGGACATGAGAACCTTCGCCGGCCAACATACACAGAACATCCAAGGGTACCCTTCCTGAAGAGACCTCGATCCCGCACCTCGGTCCGGTCAGACGAAGCCAGAACGAGGATAAATCCGGGTGAGGATGAACAGAGAATCTCTGAGATCTGGCGGTTCTGGAGGATGTCTCGGGCGCCGCGGTCTTCTCAGAGCGTTCTGGAACGTTCTGAAAGCGTTCCAGAACACCCTGGAACGGATTTATCCTCGTCCTGGCCCCGTCCGACGAACAAAGACATTCGGAGGTCCGCACGGACCCCTTGGATCGGTGCTTGACCCCCCTCACTGGCGCGGAGCGCACCAGGGGCGGCGCCAGAGGCACTGGCCCAGGGTTCCAGCGACGACCCGAGAAATCCGCGCAAACTTCCGAATACGAACGTTCATGTCAGGGTGCAGGGGCCGAACGGTCTTCGACCACTCCAGGGTGTGTGGGTGAAGTGGGCTTCCGTGGCCCAGATTCTGCGTGTCTGTTGATTGCTGTCGGTGTTGTGGGTGTTTGAAGGGGCCCTGGGACACACACATAAACACACACAAATAAAGATATTCCTTATATTTTCCCAGATTTTCTTGGTTTTTGTCTTCCCCCCCACTTCCCATATTTTCGCACATCTTCCGGGGAATCGACGATGAATTGTGTCTGTGTGGTTTTTCCTCTCCCGAGCGTTGTCGTCGCCCCCCCGCGAGCCCCCCCCGCGAGCCACCCCGCGAAGCACCCGCGAGCCACCCACGAGCCGCCCCGCGCCCGCCCACTCACTCTGAGGAGGAGGGGAGGAGGGGGAGGAGGGGGAGGGGGAGGGGGAGGAGGAGGAGGAGGAGGGGGAGGAGGAGGAGGAGGAGGAGGAGGAGGAGGCGGAGGAGGAGGAGGAGGAGGAGGAGGAGGAGTAACAAACCACAAACCAAGGAACGAGGCCCCTGCTTCCCAGAAGTTAGGCTTCGACTTCCCAGGGAGAGCCCCTCGGGAAAAGCCTGAAGCAAATTGTGAAACAGTCGGGGGGCACCTGGCCCCTCCCCAACGCGAAAAGTGTTCCTCCTTCGGCGCCCCGGCTGCATCAGAAGAAGAAGAACTACACAAACGTAAACTGTTGGCGCTGCGCGGGGATTTCTCGGATCTGCGCTGGGGTCCCCTCCCTGGCACGCGGAGCGCGCCAGGGGCGGCGCAGGAGGCGCCGCAGGGGGGGGGGGGGCAGGCGCGGATCCCAGGAATCCGCGCGGACCGTCGAAAGTTCATGTCTTATGTTTATGTTGTTTTTCGCTCCCCTGTGTATGCGCAATTGCGGGCTGCACTGCGTCGCCTCGCCCTCCTCCAATCGGGAGCGGCCAAGAGGGGGGTGTCCAAGAGGGGGGGGGTTGCTAATCATGACCGGCGGCATGTGCACGGCCCAGCGGGGGGGCCTGGGACGCAATGAAATAGGAAGAGGCGCCATGAAATCTGCGGAGACATCATGGCCCGCGCCAAGATGTCCACCCCCCCCCCCTGGTCATCACCCCCCCCTCTTTGCCGCCCCAGATCCAAAGAGGAGCGGCGACGGCCTGGCGGCGGGCCGCAGGCGCGGGGGCGGGGCCGCAGACGACGGGGCCCCGCCTGCGCCATGCCGCCGCGGGCGTCTCTCGGAGGCTCGGTCGCGGCAGGGGCTCGGCCATCCCGGGCCGGACGAGAGCAGGAGACGAGAAAAAACGGCACAGAACGAAGGGGCCTGGGGACACACTAATAAAAAAAGACACGAACCTTAGGATTCCCCCTACTTTCCCGTATTCTCTGGGTTTTCGTTTCGCCCCCCACTTCTTATATTTCCCGATATGTTCCTGGGAGTCTATGATTCATCGTGTCTGTGCGTGTGTTCTTCCCCCCCCTGAGTAAACAGAAACTGTTGGCGCTCCGCGCATACGTTTGGATCTGCGCTGGACCCCCCTGGCGGCGCCTCGGGCGCCGCCCCTGGCGCGCTCCGCGTGCCAGGGAGGGGGCCCCAGCGCAGATCCGAGACATCCACGCGGAGCGCCAGCAAATTTATGCTTATAACGTTGTGTTTTTTTCGAGAGGGAGGGCGGAGGGTAATGTCGGAGATGCTCTTCTGGGATCGGGGCGAGGGTTGCTGAGGGGATCGGCCTCAGGGGATCGAGGTTTTCGGGCAGGTTCGAGACTCTCGGCAGGTTTCTAGCCGCGGGGTGCTCTCCAGCAGCTGCGCCTCGCCAAAAGCGCTCCGGGGGTGCCCGAACTGTCCCGAACGACAGCAGGAGCTCCGAGTCATGGCCCGGAAGCAACTTCTGCGGCAGCTCATGGGGGCCTCCCATACAATCTTGTTGTGAATCGACGCTGCTAGACGCCAGACGACGCGAATCAACGCTAAATCGCCGCTATCTCGTCGATTACCACACGCTGATCGACGCGACAGCGCGGCTCTAAAAAAAAAATGCGAGGGTACCCACGGCCTCCATGGTCTGCTACCTCCCACAATCTACAGCCCCATCTTGGTGGCCTGGACCCTTGGACGCCCTGGACCCTAGAGGGACAAGCAACTGCAGAAACAGTAGCTTTTGGAGGTCCGCGCGGATTTCTTGGATCTGCGCTGGACGCCCCTGGCGCGCGGAGCGCATCCAAGGCGGCGCCGAAGGTGCCGCCAGGGGGTTCCAGCACCGATCCTGGAAATCCGCGCGGAGCTCGGAAAGTTTCTGTTTATGCTATGATTTCTTCTTCGACAGACCCTTGGACGCCCCTGACTAAGACGAAACCAGGACGAAGCTGACTTCGGGAGAAGATCTCTGAGATGCGGCGGCTCTGGAAGATGTATCGAGCGCTGCGGTCTTCTCGGAGCGTTCCCGAACGCTCTGAGGGTGTCCCGGAACGCTCTCTACCCTCATCCTAGCCCCATCAGACGACATGAACAAGGACAGTCGGAGCTCCGCACGGATCTCTTGGATCGGCGCTGGACCCCCCCCCCCTCTTTGGCGCGGAGCGCGCCAGGGGCGGCGCCCGAGGCGCCGGCAGGTGGGTCCAGCGCCGACCCGAGAGATCCGCGCAGGCATTCGAGTCTGTATGTTCATGTCAGCATACGGGTGCCGGGCGGTCGTGCATCAGTCCGGTGTGCGTGTGTGCACGCTCAAAAACCATAGTAAAGGACGCGCGGTAGGGACGCAAGACCCTCGGAAGCCGAAGTTGGGATTTTTGGGGCTGCGGACGACGCAAGCCCCAAGGACGCAAGAGCAAGGAAGAGCAAGGACGCAAGGGTACCCTGAGCAAAGTCGCGCGTCCTGGGTGAGTGAGGTCGGATTCGTCCTGCTTGTTGTTCGTTGAGCGTTTTCGTATCGTGGGTGTTGTCGTCGTTCCCCCCGCGACCCCACCTGAGATCTGACGTTGCAAACAATTGGCGACGTCACAAAACAAACTGGACCCTCGGATGCTGTCTGTCTGCGTCAATTACGTATTGCGAGCCCGATCGATCTGTGAGGGTCCCGGGGCCCGAACAAAAAAAAAAACATGGTACGAAAACATTGAGACACCAGTATCTCACGGCCCCCGCGAGCCACCTCCACACATGCGACGTCCTATTTTCTTCAGGACGGCGCACCCCGAAGTCCAGACCCTTTCCCGGCTGGCTTTTCATCCTGAGTCGTTTTTGGACGCTCCCGGGGACCAGCGAGGGCCACCAGGGGCCGAAAATAGCGAAAAACTTGCCGTCCTGATTGTGAGCGTTTCTTTTTGTATTCGGCATTTCGACATTGGACAGAAAGGGGGGGGTGAAGGTTAGTGCGATTGTTTGCAAGAGTGCTGCTTCTGGGGGAGACCCCACCCGCTCGAGACAGGCGCCCCAAATAGCCCAGATCTACTCCATGGGGGGGAGGGCGGAGGGGGGGGGGCCGCGCCGACCAGCCAAACAATGAATCAAAAACAATCACATTCTTGAACGACGCGATGATGTCTGGGCCCCGCGGCCCCCCGTCAGACTGACCCTCTCGGGGGCGCGCAGCAAGCATGGATTAGCGATCCATGGATTCGCCGCGCGGTCGCCAAATCCATGGATCGGGGGAGGTGCCCTCCCCAAAATGCTGCCAATGCCGCCTCGCTCGGCGGCAGCAATCCGCGATTCCCCCTGGAAACGGGACCCGTCGCTAATCCACGCCCCCTTGATCCATGTTCGCGATCGCCTGACCCTCTCGTCCGACCCGGACATCCCCTGGGGAGGCGCGCCGCCCCCCCCACCCGGCAGCACACAGCAGGAGCAGACAAAAATCAGTCCCTGCGGCAGCGCGGCGTGCGCGGGCGCGCGCGCGAGCGGCAAGCCGGCCGGCCGGCCGGCCAGCCGGCCGGCCTCCTCCTCCTCCTCCTCCTCCTCCTCCTCCTCCTCCTCCTCGTCCTCCCCCCCCTCCTCCCCCTCCTCCTCTTCCCCCCCCTGATTGAGGGGGGGGCGGGGGGGGGGGGATGGGAAGGATAAGGAGGGAGGGGGCCTGGGATCTGTGAGCGTGTCTGACTCGTTTGGGGCATTCGGAGGGGCTTACGCTTGCCAGACGTTCTGGGAATAGGGGGGGAGGAAGACGAGCCGCCAGCCAGATCCCGACCCCCGTCCCCAGCTACTGGATCTTGGGACCAGCCGCGTGGGGATTGACCGAGCCAGGGGAAACTAGAAGATGCCGATAACGCTGGGGTCAAAGCGCACATCAAGAACGATGCGGTAAGAACGCAGGTGCCTTGGAACGCCATGTTCATGTTTGTTTCGAACGGGGCGCGGAGGAAAACCACGGGGGCTGGCCAGCGAAAGTTGCCAAGGATAGGCCGAAGGGGCAAAGATGCAAGGGTAAACTTATACCATGATGCTAGCCAGCGTGGATGCCAAACCGTAATTTCTTGAAGTCTGTGCGGTGCAATCTATGTGGGTGCAGCGTATGCGATACAACCGATGTGATGCAATGCTTGCGGTGCAATCTATGCGGTGCAATTAATTTCTGTTCGCAGTGAGTTTTCCACTCCACTGCTCGCGCAAACATCCCACCCACCCACCCGCACCTTGGTTTGTAAAATCTCTTAAGACCGTGACAGTGGGTACCAAATGGCACTTGGCAACAACAGCGACGCCGACGACGACAGCGACAACGACGACGACGACGACGCTGCCGACAACGACTGTGGCGACAACGACGACGTCTCAAAAGACTTCGACGACGGCGACAACGACGACGAAGACGACGACACCAACGACGACGACGCCGACGCCGACGACGACGACGACAACGACGACGACGCCGACGACGACGATGACGACGACACCGACGACGACGACGACGTCAACGACGCCGACGACGACGACGACGACGACGGCGGCGCGACGACGACGACGCCGACGTCGACGACGACGAAGACGACAACGACGCCGACGACGACGAAGACGACGACGACGTCGCCAACGAAGACGATGAGGGAGGAGGAAGGACGACGACGGCGACAACGACGACAACTACGACAACGACGAGGGGGAGGGAGGACGGCGACGACGCGAACGACGAAGAAGGAGGAAGGACGGCGACGCCGACGACGGCAACGACGATGAGGGAGACGACGGACGACAATGACGACGACGACGACGGCGACGAAATAGGAGGGACGACGACGAGACGCCGACGACGGACGACGACGACGACGAAGGAGGAGGAGGAAGGACGACCACGGCGACAACGACGACGGAAACGACCACGACGCCAAAGAGGACGACGACGACGAACACGAAGAAAGACAGAGGACGACGTAGCCGACAACGACGACGACGCGGGAAGAGGGAGGACGGAGAGCGCGCGCGCACGCTTTTGCTGAAAATCCGTGTTGCGAAACCTTGTGTTTTTGTAGGTTTTTTGGACACACGATTTTGATATACTCCCGAAACCTATGGGTTGTGAAGGGTTTCGGCATACGCGCGCGACGACGCGCGCGTCTGCACTTCGTCCCATTTTTTGCAAAGGATTCCCGCGACGGCACACGCGCAAGGGCGTTCGACAGATTTCGACATGCGCGCGCGCAGCCCGTTTGGTAGCAGTGTGTGAAAATCTGGAACAAAAATATGGTTTTCTTAAGATTTCGCAAGAGCTCGCGCGGAAGCTTGTTTAGCAAATCAGTGTTGCGAAACCATATGTTTTTGTATGTTTTTTGGGGAAACTCGATTGAGAAATCTTTCCGGCACCGAAGGCTTTTGAAGGATTTCGGCATGCGCGCGCGACGACGCGCGCGTCTATTTTTTGCAAGGGATTCGTGAAAAAGTGCTATGTTAGAACAAAACATGTCACCGCATAGTGTTTTTTTTGTTCAAGGGACCCTCAGGGGGGGATACCGGTTGGCCTGGGACATTGTGATTTCATATTTAGGATGGGCATGTGGTCATAATCATAAATGATCTGCATACCCGAAAGGGAGACCGATAACGCCGGGGGGGGTAGATCGTATTCTGTTTGTAAAACCATGTGGTGCATCGACGTGGTGCAACCTACATGGCGCAATCTATGCGGCGTCTAGAAAGGTACCTCATGGGAACCTCCAGCACCAACCTGCTGGCTTCAGCGAATCGGCGCTAACCGACGCTAGTCGACGCTCTATAAGTCGACGTCCTTTAGTCGGCGCGCCAGACTAACATCTATAGATGAGGCCCGCGACTCCTAAGAAGCATTCCCCCCTCACCCTACCCTTAGGTCGGGCCTGTCCCCCTGAAGGGGGGCTCTATACGAAAACTAAAAATACTCACACAAAAGACGCTACCCTGGAAAACCCGAGGGTTGGGGGAGAGCGCGGGGAGCGCTGCGCGTTGGGTAGGCACGCGCCCGCGGGGGGGGGCGAGCGGCGCACTCGTCGCTCGCCGCTCCCCGCGGGAGCGCGCGGGTGCAGCGACACCCCGCGCCCCACCCCAACCAAAGGAGCGGCGAAGGGTGAGGGGAAACAAAAGCCGCCACGGCGGCCCGCGACGCGCGCACCGAGGGCGCCAGCCTCGCGTTCGGCCGACAAGCGCCCTCGGGGCAGCGCGCGCGACGCGGGGGTATATTTACCCTCCCCCCACCGCAGGGAGACGTGGACAAAGAACACGAACAAGACGAGGAACACGAAGTCCATGAAGACCTGAGGCGAGCCACCCCAAACGCACCCCCCAACCGACCCAACCCGCCCCACCACAGGCACCGCGGCGAACCGCGGCGCCAGCGGCGGGGCGGCAGGGGTAGAAGGTTCCCAGGTCCGCGTTTTTGTGACAACGAACAAAACTGCGTTGTGTTCTCGCCCACAAAAGACGCTACCCTGGAAAACCCGAGGGTTGGGGGAGAGCGCGGGGAGCGCTGCGCGTTGGGTAGGCACGCGCCCGCGGGGGGGGGCGAGCGGCGCACTCGTCGCTCGCCGCTCCCCGCGGGAGCGCGCGGGTGCAGCGACACCCAAGGCCCTTGCAGCACCTGCGCGCGAGGAAAACCCAACGCTGTTCTCGCCGAAGGTGTTCTATAGGCTCACAGCCACCTCAGTCCTTGTCTTCGTCGCTGGACGAAGCGCCGACGTGCGCTTCCCTGACGGCGCTGTCCTCAAGCGCATCCCTGTCTAAATATGACAGGAAGGCGGCGGACCGCCACTCTCCGGCGCGAAGGATGTCGGCCAGCCGCGAGCCACGCACCGCCATGTCTTGGGCGTGGCCCCGACGAAAATCGTGGGTGCGATAGGCATCGTGCCGCGGCACCCCGAGCTCTTGCAGGGCCGCTCTCACCGCCGATAGGACAGCGTCCGGGCGGAAACCCGCAAAAGGCTGCTGGGCCGCGCTGTCGGCGCAGAATTTCCCCAGCGCGTGCACGGGGCACGTTGATGGACAGCGCGCGCACCAGCACGTGCGCGTCTTCGTGAGCGGCGTGGCGCGATTCTTGCGCCAAAGCAACGTCAGCGAGATCGAGCCGTCATGCAGGCGTAGGCAGCTCTTCGGCTCGACCGCCCGCGGCGGATCGCCGTCCCGAGCGACGTGCATCGGCAGTGCTTCCGTCGGCAATCGCAACAGGAATATGTACGCCGTCAAGAAAAGCATCTGCAGCTCGCGCCCCGATTGGTGGCGTTCGAGATGCTTCAGTAATCTGGTGAGGAGCGCCTCCCGAATAAACATCTTGGGCCTGGCCTGCCAAGTGTTTCGCGCTTGCACCGCGCGAGCCGCGCGCTCGACTGCCGGGTCGCTCATCGCGTCCAGCGGGACGCGCAACAGGATGCAGACTAATCTGACGTGCGAAATATAGTTGTCGAATGTTCCTTTACAACGGAAGCATGTGCTCCACAATGCAAGGCCCTAGGCGACGGCGGAATCACTTCCCCCGCGTCGCAGCCGAGCACGGTCATGGCGAAAGTCGCCCAGCAGCGGAAGGCGCTGACTACGCTGGGCCACGTTTTCGGGCAGCTGCCCAGAATCGCGGCGACCCGAGCCGAATTCGACCATTCGCTGAAGCTTCGCTGGGCGAGGCCCTGCCGCAGGGCCTCGACATCACGGCGGGGGCCCGCGCGCGGCTCGATGGTGCACTGGCGCGCTATGCTGACGGCCAGCTCAAGGTCCCGCACAGCACCGCAAGCCGCCGAAAGCTCATCGCACTTGGCAGCTCGCCGCCTGGCAGGGCGACTGCGGCTGCGGCACTCGCGCTGATGCACGTCGGGTGCAGGCGGAGGTTCGTCCTTTGCGCCGCGCACGACGGCAGATGGATTCTTCGCTTCGTTAATTAACTCTGACAGCGCTACGCGCAGGGCGTCAGGGCTGACGCCTCGTTCCCCTTCTGCGGCAGACACCGGTTCGAACCAATCGACGCGCGCTAGCTGCAGATCTCTGAGATGCGTTATGTCCTGGCGCCGCAGCAACTCGATCAACGCAAAGGTAACCATGGGTAAAAGCTCTGGCAGGACGCCGCGGACCTCATGAAACAACGTCATGGCTTATCGCTCGACTGAGCGCCCGTCGCTGGCTGCGCTGGGACCGCGCGCTGACGCATAGGACAACCGACCAGGCGCCCATCGATGGGGCCGGTTAACGACGCAGCTTCCACTGTCGGCTTTTGGCATCAACTCGCGCGGGCCGCCCTCGCAAGGCACGCGCGAGGCATGGCTCGCAACGGGCTCGACGCGGGACAGCGGATCACTCGCCTTCGTTGCTTCGTGCCGCCTTCGATGCGCAACGGCGCTCGCGGGGCGCGACGACGCGCGACGGCGCGCTCCCGCCGGCAGAGCGCGGGCCAGAAACGTCTCCGGTGCGAAGAACTCAGCCGCGC